ACCAGAGGACACAAGTGCATAAGTCCCATATGTCCTGCTTGAGTGTCCTTAAACATGTCAGTAATTCTCCAGCACCAGCTTTGATGGAGGTGACCCTGAACTCTGACTTTCTTGTAAAGGCGCCAACCAAAAAACAGGATCTATCCACATAGATCAATAAAACTCTCATCTTATCTTCATCACCTCTGTCAAGTTGTTGCACATGTTGGTTTGACTGTCAAACATCTGGGAATGGATTTTCATAAGGGCTGTGGGTGAGGGAGCGATCAATTTGTGGTTTCATATGTTTTTACCATTTACATAAATTTACATGTATTACATTTTTCAGATAATCCGACTGATTTTAAAGCAGTCTATTTCGCTTAAAGCCCCTGAAAATTGGTTTCAAGTCTTGTGCAATCTGTTATAAAATTAAACATTCATGACTAAATAGGCTAATAGAGAGGAACAAAAAATCTTAGGTATTATTTGTTATTCTTTGAAACTCAAAAACTCAACTAATGGACGTCATCAGGACTGTGTGGGTGTGTTTTCATCTGGTTAAGGAGTGCTATCATGCTTTAAATATATATAATGTTATAATGTTGGATGTTCATATTAAAGGTGGCCAAAGTTTCAAACAATGATAGCCTGGAAATCCAGACTCAACTCTAGAAAGATTTTGAGTCTGGCCCTCACTGATACACCCTTCCTACCCAAGGGGCGGCACTAACTGAGGCATATTAAATGCCGCTACATGCAATTGGATAGCACAATAGCCAATCAGAGCAAAAAACAAGGTGACGTATTCATTGCACTAAGCCCCATTTGTTTGCTGAACAGTGGGGCTAACTGATATGCTTTTGCCGTATCCCGTCTGCAAAACAGCAAAAACGTCCTTCCTGGAAGCAAAGGCTTCTAGGACAGTCTTCTGTTCCTCTCTCAAGGAAAAAGATAAGTGTAGTTGGCTTAGCGTTTCTTCCAAAGCTAAATTGAATGGACGCGGTGCTTTGGCAGCTGCCATCTTGGCTGGTTACTTTTCGACTCCTCCGGCGCAGCGCTGGCTTCATCATGTCCACCCAGAGCCTGCCTCTGTCAGATAGACTGATCTGATTGGTCCGATGGTGATTCACCGGGCTCTGCTCGTTGGGGCCAGATCCCCATGCAGAGCAAATTTCGAATTTGCTAGGGGCAGGGCATCTGGATTTCCAGGTTAAAACAATGAGGTAAATGCATGTAAAAGTCATCCCTGAGCAAAAACCTCAGGCTTCAGACCGTTCTGAATATTCTGTTTTCAACAGGTTTTTTAATTTCAAGAAAGGATGCTGTCAGCTCAGGAAAGATTTGTCGGTTAATCTGCTCCAAACATGCTACTGCTACATGTAGCAACTTGCTAATGTCAGGGAGACATGTAATCTCGGTTGCTGATGTTGCAAATTTCTCCCTGATTTCCTACCATGTTCCTGCTGGAACACGTCCGAATGTGAAGATTTTGGTTTAGAAGCTCTTACCGGTGATTTTTCACAGGAGAAAATCTCACTATATTCGGTTATTTTCCAGCTACAGGAACACTGCTACATGTAGCTAATGTCAGGGAAACATATAATCTTGGTTGGATCCTATTCCTGCTCAAACATGTCCAGCTGTGTTTAGAAGCTTTTATCTGTGATTTTCAACAGGAGAAAGTAATGCTATATCCCGTTACGGTCATTCCTCAGCTGCAATGACAGTGCAGAGATACTGGGATTCAAATGTTGCTAAATGCTGATTGGTGCAATAAATATATATGCCATCACCTTTTTTCCAGGTAAGCCCCACCCACTTCAAATCAATGCTGTAATGAGTCCTAAAATGCAGAAAAAAGTTGGCATTTTTACACTCCTGCTTCCACTGATGCCAAGTCAATGGGTTTTCGGCGAGATTCCTGAAACAAAGCAAGCTTAAGAAGTTTTCATGTTTTGTTCTGCGACATAAAATAAGTACCCCTCATGAATCTTTAACATGTCTTCAAAAGACTGTTGCTTGCAAGTGGCAAAATAAGACTACAGGATGTCATCATGAAGAACACGGCTTTACAGCCTCATTGTGGTGGTGCAGATGAAATCATGCGACCGCAGTGTAGTTTGTCTATAGCCTAATGATACCTTTTTACTTGTAGCAATGGCACTTACACTTCAAAAATCATAGTAGTGGTGCTCATTGGTGAAGACTATCTTGCTGAACAAAACATGTAAAACTTTTGTTTGCCACAGAGCTTATTTTGGCCACAACCTAAAATCCAATGGGAAAATCCCTTAGGCTTTTTGTAGAGGGAACAAGGGTAATGCTAACTTCAGAGTTGGGTTACGAATACATGTCATCCCTGCACAATGCTATAGGCTCTTTAAAGAGGACTGCAAAATATTTCTCTGGATAATTTTGTTTCTTGACTACCTACTTTACCATTCATAGAAATCAATGTAATGTAAAAGTGTCACAAGCTTATTTTCTTTTGCAGTCCCTGGACGGGTTGATATTACAGCATTATTGAGTATTTGTGACACTGACTGATTTGATTGGTGCATTCTTATAATCATATGCTGTCATTAAGTGTAGAATGACCTGCCACAGCTGGACATGCTGCTCCAGACAGATCACATTAGGAAAAGACTCTCAGTTGAAGGTACACAGTGATATCAGCTGGCTGCCAGTGAGACTGGTGCCATTAGTGAAACACGAGATGACAAGCTGCCGTTATGGTGTCCACTTTTCTGCTGACTGACATTAATTTGACATGTATTCAAACACTGCGCAGCGTAACTTGTTAGAGTGTCAATCTGATGGCGACTGTGGCACATGTGCTGCATAATCAACTACATAAATCATCATTAAATGAGCAGTCTGCATAGAAGGAAGATGCATGGTAATGGATGAAGTGAATGGATTTTTAAGTGGCACGCCTTAATGATGCACCAAATATTTACATACGTCTGCAAGTAATTATCACGTCTGCGTTTATGCACAGCATTTTACAATAAAGCCAAAAGGTTTCTTTGTCCTTCAGTTCATATTTATTGTAAAATAAAGTGTCGATCATTGAAACATTTGACTAGTTAAATATGACACAAACATTTTATTGACTGATAAGAACACAAGTAGTTATCTACAATGACAATGAGTTTTCTAGCCTTACAACAGTTGGAATATACTGTTTTTATACATGAACTGAAAATACAAAGTTACAGTAAACATGCCTTTTGATAAAAATATCTTTACAAAAAAATGTACATTTCTATACAACAGTTGTCAGTTACACTATCTCTACAAGCCCCACGATTCTGGTTAAAACCTGCAACGACTCCAACAAACTGTCAGTATATTAATTCAGCATCATTTTAAACTTAGTCTCTTTCAGTCTATTTGTTTTTTAAATAAACATGAGAAGGACTATTTACAAGGCAAACTAAAAGTAAGCATTGAGCCAGAAATGTTTTAAAGTGACCCAGAGAAATTACAACAGTTAAAAGCAATGGATTTTTTTTTTTTTTTTTTTTGTAATTTTGAAAAATATTTGACACATCACCATACTGCTCATTAAATAACAGGCTACCAGCAAAAAAGATAAACATGTAGCAGAGCCATTTCCCTTAGACATGTTTTTGGATACAAAAATAGTGCTAAATATTACACAGTATCATCATTCACCAGACACTTATTTTGAATGAGCTGCAGGACAGACATTTTATTTTATGTATTTTTTCAGGCAGCACTGCCAGGTCCGACCGTTGTGTTCATGAAACTGTGCAAGGCGACCTCTCCTTCATGTTGAGCTAATTCTCTGTTTAAAGGGTCAGTTCAACCAAATCACAAAAAAATGTTTCTAACTTAGTCTTGGTTTTAATTGCCCAGGTTTTGCACTAATAAGATACAATGGGGGTGAACAGAGTTTCAACAATTACATATATACAAAACACCATTATTCAGGTGGTTATTCCACAGTATTTACAGGAACCCTTTCCTACCCACAACACAATCGCTGGAATAACTGTTGGCATTCTATGTTTCTGCAAACCATGGATATGTTACATTCGTATGTTTCAGATTTAGCGGATATGTTGAGACTTTACTTTCTTTACGTTGCAATTTTTGTAATATAACTTTCATGGTGACCAAACAGTGGGATTTCAACTTTCGGGTTTGTCAAGTGATGCCATTGGGCCGACAAAGAGTTTTACCTATAGACTTACATTAGGAAAGACACATTTTTAAATCAGTGGATACATTTTTTTGAGTGTCACAACCCCAAAATGACTCGCTTCCCTATCGGGATTTGATCCATTCATTACAATAACATTTCAAATACAAGACTAAATCTGTGGTGCGCTTGGTCTATAGGCCCAATAGTGTGGGAGATCTGGGTAATTTTACACTTGGGAACTCTAACTTTTCTGGCTTCATGTGCCAAGGAACTTTCATAGGAATGAACGGGGCACCACCTTGATCCAGTTCTCTTTATACATCCATGCTTGATTAGAGTCTTGAAAACATCTAGTTTTGGCTCAAAAGACCTGGTTTTGTTTCCACAACGATGGCTGGAAATGTTGCAGACTCTCGTTAATAAAATACCTGTCTTGTTCTCAAACAGTAGTTTGCTGCTGTCTGCTGGCAGCTGTCTCGCCAAGGTCTCACACCCTCCACTCCCACTCTTCCTTCTGATGAGACACTCATCACACTATACTGTACATGTAATCTGAACTATGTCAATTTAGAGACGTTGATGAGAACCGTATGAAACATACAAATGCAGTGTTCATTCATTTATTATCTGTAAATGCTTATCCTGTTAGGGGTCGTGGGGGGGCTGGAGCTTATCCCAGCTGACACTGGGCGAGAGGCGGGGTACACCCTGGACAGGTCGCCAGACTATCACAGGGCTGACACATAGAGACACACAACTATTCCCACTCACATTCACACCTATGGGAAATTTAGAGTCACCAGTTAACCTGCATGTCTTTGGACTGTGGCTGACACAAGGAGAACATGCAAACTGCACACAGAATGTAACTTGGTTTGCAGAAATGTACGCCAATATTTTATCCTGGTGACTGGGCTGCTACCCAAGGTAAACTAAAATGTCTACAGAAGCATGTGTGGATTTCCCAGAGTAATAAGGACATCGTGTCTGAAGAGAAACATTGCTGTTGAATTTTTCAAATGCATTTTTAATGTTTCAAGCACCACAAAGGAAATGTACTTTACCTTGATTGCACTGGGGTGGCTACAAGTCTCAAGGGCACATCTCAAAACCTGTGCAAATAAAACCACAACTTTCTGCTCCACTAGACACCAACAGCCTATTTAAAAACAAATAATTTGGGCGAAACAACTCATTAAACTAATAACAGCACTGAATCACATGATTCAACTTTTACATCAATTCAGGATTGCTACTGATATTCAGTAAGTATAAAGTTTATTCCAATAACAAGAGGCCTGTCTGCTGTCATACTTAAATAAGACCCTCTGGAGGCGTTAAGGTGTGGTCACACCGGGTGTTCATGCTTCTGAGCATGAACTGAAGCAAAAGAGGACGAGTTCAACAACAGTACAGTGACGTTCTACAAGCAGCACAGAGGAGAGAGATGTTACTTGGCTGCAGTGAGGACAATGATAGAGGTTAATGACAGCAAAGTGTTCGATAAGAAGCTGTGTAATTTACAGCCTTGATGAATGTCCTTAGCCCACTAGCTTTTCTAGCTCCTGCAGTTCATGCTTACAACCCTGTTTACGGCATTTATACACCAGATGCGCCAGCTGACACACATCATCAGCCTAACTGATGCTCCTGACCAATCAGCTGGCACACCTGGTGCACATTAGCTGTAGTTCCCAACACCTACCTCCTTCTGAGAATGGCTTCAAAGGAAAAGCTTGAAACAACAAATGTCTGATTGTTGAGAGCAAATAAATAAAAAAGGGGGTAAACATGATGTGACTAATCAACAGTGGTACATGCTGACTTCCAGTCACTGATGTCATAATTCACTTAGCAGCAATTAATTTATAATAAGGTTATTTAAAATCACTCAGCTGAGGCTCAAGCTGTGAATTTGAAAATATTACATGTTAGCAGCTCTACATGGCAGCAATGAGTATGTTTACATGGACATAAATACCCAGGTTATGGCCGGGTTTCCGGAGTATCCCGTTTAAAGTCAAATAGAACAGAATAGAAAATATGAGAGACCCAAATATGCTACTTGGTGTACTCCAAAAGAAACTGTAATACTGTTGCATGTATACGACCCATCCCAGTTACTGAACATCCCCAACTACCTCCACAGGCTTCAACCAAAATCACATAGTAGAAACATAACAAATGACGGCAGCGACAGCGTCTCACCTCTGTAGCAGAAATAAACAGTCTTGTCTTTTGGTAATGAAAGAGTTTGCATGTCTTCATCCACTGCCATACAAATTACCAGGAAGTTGTAGTAAATGTAGAGTGAAATGTTTAATATTTATGTCCCTCCCATCTCCTGTTGTCGGTTTGTTTTTGTAGACATCACAGGCTTCTGCGCAAACACACTGCACTAATCAGTAACCACATTATTTTTCATGTATATGGGGAATATGAATAACTCGATTAGTCTGTGCTCATGTGAACACCGCATCCTGAATATGATCATCATAGATGGGTCAATTGTGTCCATGTAAACACGCTCAGTGTTACAAATCTGAATTGGTAGTAATCTTGAGCACTATCATGCTGGTAAACTGCAGCAAATAAGGGGACAAATCATCCAGTGCTGGCAAATTCAGTTTCATCATTATTAATATTGCCTTTTGTCGGCATTTTATTAAAAGAGTAATGGGATGTAGCTCTGTATTGTCTCAATAACTTATTATGACCTCCGCCAGAGGTTTTGTTTTCTGTTTGTTTGTTGGCTTGTCCCTCTGTAAGCAGGATCACAGACCCGGTTTCCATGTTCTGTGATGGAGGGATGAAGCATGTGCCAAGGAAGAACCAATTAAATCTTGGAGTGGGCGGATGCACAAATAAATTTTCACTTTCGTTAACACTGTAAGACGGGGCACTTGGCCTTGGCACGGGTCTGCGCTCTCCGAGTGTGATTCTAGCTTAAGTTGTTTTAAGGCCATTGTTGCCACTGCGATCTGATTACAGATCACATACTTAGATAAAATCAAGGCATCTGTATATATAATTTACAAATCTTCACCTTGCTCTCTTGCCTACATAAGATGGAATCAATGCAGAATGCAGAGGGAGAGATAGAGGAGAAGGAGAAAGGGCGTTGGCTCCTAAACAGCAGCAGTCCATGTTGGGATGCACAGGCTGAGCAGGGAGGAGTGCATTGAGACGTTGGGACACTGCTCCCTGGCAGGAGGCCTGTGCCAGTGTTAGCTCTCTACCACAGGAAGCCCTTTCTGCTTCTGAAACTTGGCAGGAGTTGGAATATACGATGGAACAGCCCCACAGGGCATTTGTGTGATAAATGGATAAAGCTGGATAAAGTTATGCTCGCAGCTATTGGCTTATGCATGAGTCAAATCCAAAACCAGACGGCACCGATGTTTCATTCATTTTGTGATTATCATACTGTGGTCGCACATTGTTCTGACTGTAACTTTATTCATTTCATTTTTGAGCAACAACAGAGATTCATTGGAAAAACAGTTTGTGAAATAACATTGCAAACACATTTCATAAAAGCAGCAACGGTTGATCAACGACGTCATGTTCCCTTTGCTCCACGTAATTCAATATATAAATCTGAAAGAAAGCCTTTACTTCCTTTCCTCCTTGTTTGTATTTTTTCAGGAACAGGATTAGCACATGATACTGTCAGCCTCTTGCAATGAAATATAGGTTGCACAGAATATCCATGAGGTGAACTCAGGCCAATGCATTAAAATGGGTCTTGAATACATTTTCTTTAGAGAGCACATCACGTTCGGCTTGTGCTGCACAGTTGGGCATCTAAATGTGATTTCGGAATCTCTTGAACACAACTTACAGTCCAGAATGAGAGTCTTGATCCCTCAGAGATCCTTTTTCCGTCTCTTGAAGATGATGATGAATTCTAATACCACTGGCTGGGGGGTGTCTGCCGCCTCATCCTGGAGTGATAAAGGAGGAAAACTGATGAAAACACATTATAGGGACTGTGTCTCCTCAAACATGGTGGATATTTATAATGCTGTAAATCTGAGGAGGATTAGGCTGAATTTTAAAAGCTTGTCCGTTTTGAATGGCCTCAGAAATATCATGGGAAGTGCAGAAATATTTGCTGGTAGCTGGAGATGCCTGCCTAATCCTTCTGGACATGACTTATTGAGGTTCTTCTCACTGTGATTTTCTATCCTTGGTAGGCCTGCAAGCAAAACATTCATATATTCTCCACGACCTCGAGTGGGATTTTCAGGTTTTTAAATGTATGTGCTGTGAGGAGGTGTTGTGAATCGGCTACTGATAGAGTTTTTAAAAAAGGCAGACATGTGGAGAGGAAATGGAAAACTGAAGTGTAACGTGGTTTTCTTAAGAGGTGGAAAAAACTCAGGATACAAGACGCCTGGACAGGCAGATGGAGGAAAAGGTGTGGGGTAAACTGTGAACATTTTTTCTAGTGTGCACATAAAATAAAAAAAAACTTTAGCGCACCTCAAGCCAGCATGCAACCTTGGGAGAAAGATTACATAAAGCTAACATATCAACAGCTGTGGATGTAATGTTAACAGTACATTAAGTTGGCTATCTGTTTTGTTTGCAGGTTACTGATAAGTGCTGTCAAACATCTAGATTTTTTAGTTCGCTACATAATTTTAGCATTTCATCTTACAGGAATAGTCCACCCATTCTCATTTCTAAGTCATTGAATACCAACGCTTGGGCAGTGGCTTTCGGCGTCAGACACAGATAAAAAAAAGCCTTTCACATCTGCATGATACGTGGCTTGATATGTGTAATGGCACCCAGCTACATCAGAGGGAAATGCGGTGGGACAACGATGCAAGTTAAGGGGGTGAAAGTCCGGATAGGGCGGGTGGAAGAGGTGGTGGAAAAAAACAACAACCAGCAACTCTTAGCCAGGAGGTTGGTGCTCACTTCATGTATGAATATAAAGCCAAACTGTTTTTTCTTTTTAAACTTAACCACGTGCTTTTATTGCTGACGGAAAAAAACCTCAACTCGCGACGTTGTGCCAGTGTAGTGTGTTTATTCTGAAAGAGCCTGTATGCAAACTGTACATTGTGAAAACGGACATGTATTTTGAAAACACACAATGCATGTAACAGGCTGAAGTTGACACGGTGTCCCAGAACATCAACAATCAACGCACCCAGGGTACCTTGCATGTCATATGTCAACGTGGATAGTCCATGACCAAGTGTTGATATGGGACGAAGTGGCAGTGAGAATGTTTTGCAGTAGATTGACATTTTGGGAAATAAGCTCATTGTCTTTCTGTCTGAGAGTTTGATGAGAGGATACAGTTTCAGCTCATAGTCCTCCATAAAATCCCATTTTTCCACAGTTTTTACACTTTGTTTTTTCTACAAAATAAACAAAACAATTTAAGCTAATTTCCTCTGGTTCTAGCTTTAAATTTAGTGAGCAGAAGTAGCGGTGGTGATCTTGATCTTATCATCTACCTGTGAGCGGGAAAGTAACTAACGACCTATTTCCACCAGATGCGTGATGGTTGTGTCTCTGCTCCGGCACGGCAGCTGAGCCAATAGGATTCAATTCTAGTCAATATGTGTGTTTCCACCGGCTGCGGCTGTGCTGCGTTCCGGCTCCGTCTCAGCTCCGGCACTCTGGAGCCCTCCGCAACAGATACGCAGGACTTCTATTTTTTCCGGACGCCGGAGCACAACGCAGCAATTCAGCACGGAGCACATCATGCAGGGCAGGAAGTCGTGCACAGAAACAAAATAAAACATCCGGTTAATTTTCAAAATAAAATACACAGTGTTCACAGCGGATCGTATTTCCCTGCACTACACCTTGAAAACTACATAATGGGCAGAGGCAGGCCTTAAGTCAACAGTTCAGAGGTTTTCAGATGTCATTTCACGCCGTTGACACCATGGACGAGGAGATATTAATCATGGCGGTGTACCGAGATGTGCACAGCAAATGCAGCTGGTGGGTATTGACGGACGGCGGAGCACGCAGCGGATAACCAGCGCTGCCGTTCCGCAACGCACATGCATCCAGTGTAAATCCGGCGTAATAGTATTTCCCAAAATGTCTAACTATTCTTTCAAGCTCAATCCTAACAGTGAGTAGCATATTCGTGGACCAGCATATGAATGAGCAGTTACATTCATGCTCACAGAGCTTTTGGGAGATTTGTCTATTACTATAGGGAATGACATATTTTAAATACAACTATTTCAGTCTGGTATATAAAGGAATACAGTTCCTTTTCTGCTTAATTTTTTGTCATATCTACTGAAACTGTCACTATATCCTGACAGTAGTACATGAGACAGAAAATCTGTGAAAAAAAAAATCAGGTTTCCCCATCTTCTCCTAGTGCTCCTAATGGCAAAAACAACCAATCAATGTTGATCAGTGCTGGTGTACATGCTGCAGCGAGCACACCAAGACAAGCAAACAGAAGACCGACAATGGTCTGTGAAAGTAAAAGCAAGCTTCTTCTGTTTATTTGTCTTTGCCATGTATGCTGGTTTATGCAAAGTAGCAATGGTCACTATGTTTATAAAGCTCCTCCTGAAGGTGTCCGCTTAATATACTGAGCTTCAGCGAGTGACAGTGCATTTTCATGAAAACTGGCGATGGAGGGTGTCTCATTGCTTTTAATTCATTTCCCATAGGAAGCAGTTGCGCAGTGCATGATGGGTTATGGCGACTTTAAAGCAGGGGGTGCGGTGCATTTACCAGTCTGTGTTTGCATAAATAGACTAGATTCAACTTAATATAAATGAGTCCATCCAGCATGATGTGACTGGTTCACGAAACTTAGACCAAACTGTCAAACTAGGTAATGCAGTTCGAATATCAAATAAGATTGAGTGGGGATTTTGCCTATTTCTCTGCTCATATGTTTTCAGAAATAGATTTTGGTGGATTGTTTGGACAGGATAACAGAACAGAACAGGCAGCCCTTTTGTTTCCTGTTTAAAATGATGTGCAGAGAACTGGGGACAGCCCAACTCCAAGCATTCATCCAATCAGTGCATTCCACAATGGGGTACGTCACTAGTGGAAGTCCATCAAGTGGCTAGTTGAGTGGAGCAGCGTGTCCCCTGGTGTTCTCGCCGTATCTGGTGGAAATGTAGCTTAACAGCAAGTGTGGGGGAGGGGCTGTCCAGAGTGTGCATGAGCAGTGACTGACACTCCTCCTGGCTTTGATTGGTTGTTTTTGTTCAGGCGAGGTGGATTCTTGCAAATGCCATTAGGAGCTCTGGGAGGAGCCAGAGGTACAGGATTATCTGTCTCATGTACTACTGTCAGGACATAGAGACAATTTCAGCAAATATGAGAAAAAGATTTTCCTACCCACTGAGCCTTTAACGACGGGACAGCTTAAAAGCCATAAACATAAAATATGCATGAATTAAACTCAAATTTCACTGGCAAAAACTAGACTAAAATGTCTTTATGTGACTAGAGGCAGATTAAAACTAAGAATCACCACTGTTTGGATGTCCTTTGCTCGCCCAGCAGCAAAAGAAGACAGCTTAACTCAACTTAACATCCACAGTGTGCGACTCATAAACACAGCTAAGCACCCCCGCTACGAGGAGCCAGCCAGCACCGAGGCCAACTGATGATGTGGCTGCATCATTACCCACACCCTGAGAGGCGAGAGGCAGGAAACTCTTTACCTTAGGCCTTGCCATTCATACCCCCTTCCACACAATTCAATTAGATGAATGTTGTTTATGGGCAGTTCTGGCCCATTGGAATGCCATTATTGCTCCCTCTGTTGAATTCGGCATTAGCTGCCCTTCAGTGGAGCTGGTCTTCTAAATGTCATGGAGCTTATGACTTAGGAGATGATTAACGAATGTTTAGAGATGCTCAAGACACAGTTCAGTGGTTATGGCTTTTAATGAGGACCGGATGTAAGGCCTTTAATGAAGACTGCCTGCAAGAAGAGCCTCTAGCAGAGACCTTCAGCAGTCTTACAACAAACTCACAGCTACTGAAATGGATTTAACCTTACCGGGTCTCAGTTGTCAATATCCGATACATGGTTCTCTATCTGAAAAAAGAGAGAGAGAAAAAATTATGGCTACGACATCGTGTTTTAAACTGAGCACACAGGTTGTATTTAATCTTTTCTAAAGGTCATCGCTGATATACACTCAACAAGAGCAGCCATGCCAACCTACGAGAACAGTCTTTGTGGTACATTATCACAACCTGTGATCAATGTGACCTTCAGGAAACAAATAAATCTCCTCCACCATGCCTCTGAAAAATAATGTCTTCCATTAGTGGGGGCACTGAGCTTTCATCAAGGATAGCATGCCTATGCTCACCTGGTTAATGGCTAATAAATACCGCATAATAGAAGGAGCATGGTCAAAAGCATGGCCACACTGCAAAGCTGAACCCCGATCAAACTCAGGATAATTACTTTGATCCCAGTGCTTGAACTTGAACAACTCTGCAGTGTGAAACAAAGCAGTATGGCAGTATGGTGCACTTCAGAAAAAATACGAGAATAATGTTTTAACTGCAGTATAATAAGGAGCGCGGTGGGTGATTCAAAGCTGCCAGCATGCAGATAAGTGTTATTTCATAAAGTTCAAAGGACAGGCATTTGAACGCAACGGTAAAAATGAAGACAGTGATAAAATGTTTTAGTTTAAATTCTAGAATGGCATTCAGTTTTTAACATTCAAAGCACAAAATGGGAAAAAAAACCTGTCCTTCTCAATGAAAAGCATCATGCTATTTTTGGTCAGAGAGCCTTTATCAAATACCTGTCTGCTTATAAGTTCTAGGTCAAGTTATGAAAAATGTTCCATGAAAATAAATTGTGAAAGTGTATCAAAGTTTATCACAGCCTTGGGTGATATTGAAATACTGTGTCACTGTGTAATCTAGTGACTCTGTCTCTTTGAAGTTACAAAAAAGACAGCTGTTGTAAAATATGGGTGAATTAAACTAGTGACTAACCAAATTTTGTTAAGGTGCCTCCAAAAAGTCTAAATTTTCAAAGCATGTGAGGCCAGCCCTATAAACGCGAAAGTCTGTCCGTCGCTGAGTGAGTGAACAATGACATTACACCATTGTTCAGAGTGAGTGATGGCATGAGTGTCCCCTTGGCTGTTGCTCTTTCATAATGAGATCTCCAGGGATGACCTTCTGTAGGCCGATGTGGTATTTAGCTTCGCCTTGGTTTTGCCTTGTCAAAAAGCTAATGGGATTTTTGGATAATGGGATTATTACAGAAAATAAACTGTGGCAAACAAAAGTTTATGGTACTTAAATGTTTTGTTTAGAAAGATAATCTTCACATATGAACACCACTTCTATGATTTTTGAAGCCTAAATTCAGTCATTAGAAGTAAAAAGCTAACGTTAGGCGCGGCGCAATGATGTTCTATAGTCTCATTTAGCCACTTGTTAGCAACCACCTATTGTAAGACACATAAAAGCAAAATTCCCGAGAGGGGTATTTATGAATGTATTTTATGTTGTAGAACAAAACGTGAATGCCTCTATAAGGTTTGTGTTACCACAGACCTTATTTCAGGCATCTAAACCAATTCATAAAACCCAATGACTTTTAGACGAAGGAACCGGAAGTGCAAAAATGCTGACTCATTTGCGGGTTTTAGGCTATTCCTCATTTTCTGTAACCAGCGTAACATAATAGCATGGTGGCATTAGCAAGCTAGCTAGCTAACTAGCCAGCCGCTATATGAGTAAAATTTAACAACTTCATTCTTTTCCCTTGTGACAGGGTAGGCAAGCACATTGCTGTCATCAGATAGGTGACAACTTTGGCTTATTTTCTGTAACCACTGTTATGTTAGCATAAAAGCATGGTGGAATTAGCAAGCTAGCTAGCTAACTACCCAGCCGCGGTTGAAACGGCAGTTTTGAACGGACACCTCATTAGTTGTATGAAGAACAGCTGTTTCTGTATGACACAAGCCTTTAATTTATCTAAACATCATTGACTATTATAATGTCAGAACAGGCGCTGCTACCGATATGAGGAGAAAGTGGAATAAGACAGTAGCCATGTTTCCATCAGCCTGTTTAGATGCGCATCTAGAAGTATCGCATCGTAAAATTATGACGGAAACGCCAAGATTCGAATTAAAATCCCCTGATTCGCACAAACTAAAATACGCTCGCTTTAGCTGGGTTTTGGTTGATTCGAAAAAATGTTGAATCGCAAAATGGGGGATGGAAACAGTTTTGTTCGAATTAAGCCTAACGTAGCGCACCTCTCTCCATGGTGATATCCACACTCAGGGTCGGGAAGGTGGTATTGCATTTACAAGCTGGTTGCCAACCGCCAGAAAACGTAGAAGTAGAAGAATGCGAAACTTGTTTTGTTTCCGGTTCTGCGGAAAACTCGAGTTCGTAGTTTTCACCAAAGTCCGTACATTTAATGGAAACACACAGGATTCATATTTCTTTTAATGCGCATTTCCCAATGAATTGAATCACTTTTGGATGGAAACATAGCTACTGACTGAATTTTGAGCAAATATGACATGTTACAGTGCTGGAGTGGGTGCCACCACAATGACAGCATTTTCCTTATGGAAATCAACGCCAGTAGGACGTTTTAAAAACTGACTTTTTGGGTGGAACTTGGTCTCGATAGTAGCCAATAGCTGAGCAGCCTCCAACAGTCAGGCAGGAACATACATCTGACCTGAGCTGAAAACAGGAGGGATGCGTTCAACTGAGCAAACAGTTTTTCATTTCACACAAAATTTTCAGCTGGACCAGGACAACGGGGTAATGCTGTAAGCAAAAGTAATGGTGAAAGTCCGTGTATGAATATGGACCTAATTCCTGTTTCAAATTAAAAGTCCCTTTTTTCAAATTAAAAGCCTCTGACATTTCATACACAGTCCAGCCATATACTATATTTCATGACAAGAATTTCACTACATAACAAATAATAGATTATGAATGACAGATTATAGTATTTGATAAGGCTGCAACTAACGGTTGTTTTCATTGTCAGTTAGCCTAATCTGTTAATTATTTTCATGACCAATATATTAGTTAATGTCAGTAAATGTTAAATCAGTAAATGTCAGAAAACAGAATAAATCAAAGAAGCTGGAATCGTTTGTTTTTCTTAAAAAATTACTTAAACTGATTGATCAATTATCAAATTAGTTGGTGATTAATTTAATAGTTGTCAACTAATCAATGAATCCTTCCAGCTCTAATATTCTTCTGTCAGAAAATTTGGTAATGCAAGCACAGATGCCAAACAGCCAGCTTGTTGTGCAAAATCTCCTTTTTTAAAAGCATTTTAAATGGACTATTTTTGAATTTTATACAGTTGGCCAGACAATACAAGCGATTTGTAGACTTCACCTTAGGCACTTTTTTTCTGACACTTTATGGATTGAATTATTATTTATTTATAACACATATTAATAGAATTTCCTCGACAAATCAGCTCAACTTGGCTCGTCTACACTTCTTCAGTGACCTTGTGAAAGGAAACTTATTCATACAGTTCTACACTGACCACTTCACAGTCAGACTCACACTAGTACATGCAGGTCTGGTCATAAACGCTCCGCCATGTGTCTCCAGCCCTCTGCTTTAATTACAGCCTGTAAGTGGGTGTATGTGTGTGGGCCTGTGAAGAGCCTCGCTTCCACTGTTTGAGCCGGGGTCGACAGGGAGAAACTGTCAGTCCAGGCGCTCTCACCATTCACTCATGTGAAGCCCCGCTCTCTCAGATCTGTGGCCATGAATAATTCTGGAAAATTAACTTTCAGAAGGCGAAGACTGTCTGCCCACTTGAGATCTCCCAAAGTGCCTTGCTCTCTTCCCTCCCTGTCAGGCCTGTCAGCCGTTTCTCTTACCAGATGGTGGCTGCCCTCCTCGTCGTAGTCGTCCTCGCCTCCATCGGTCATCTCGCCCGCCTCCACGTCCAGCGCCCCCTCACCGGCCTCCTCCCCAGAGTTTTCTGCCGTCTCTGACACGGACTCCTCATGGAGGGAGTCGCAGTTGTCATCGTACTTTCTTTGAGCCTCTGAGTGAGAAAGATGGCCACAGAGAATTGTGTGATCACAGTCACAGCTTTCTTTGGTCCACACAGCAGTAGAAAAGTTTACCTGGCTGCCTTTTTTCTGTTTTCAAGATCTACAGAAACAAATCGAAGTGTCACCTCTACTAGCAATCCTGAGAGGCTGCACTGCACCGTGCGTTCAGCTGGAGAGAAGTGGTTTGACCTCAACACATGACCACGTGACACACACCCTGTCTACACCAAATGCATTCTAATTCATCTTCTTACAGAACAGACACACACTCATTTTAATGCTGTCTACACCAGCTGCCAAATTCTTCAAGCTACACAACCGCAACCTGAAGCATCTTCTTTTAGCTTTTAACCCAAGGAAATGACGGGGGACTGCAGTCGCTGCTGCTAATGTGGTGCTTCCACTGTGTAGGCAAGGTGTGAGTGCTATGCCAAGTGAGGCAAAAAATTCCCCTAAATGCCACAATTTGGGGGCATAAGAGTGGACTCAGAAGGAACTATCAAGGTGTTCAGACAGTGAGGGAAGCAATTTTTTATCTTGTGTCATTTGGATGAGTTTTTTTTTTTTTATTTGTTCCAAACAGCCAACATACCAACTGTATGTTCGTTGTAAGCTAGCTGGCAAGTGACCCACCAGCTGCATCTGAAGTTGGGTTTCCATCCAAACGTAATGCAAATTTTAATAGAATTTTCAGAAAATCGGCAAAAGAAAATGTAAGCTATGTGCTTTTCTACAACTGAATATTGGGAGTTAGTTCAATGAGATGAGACGTGGGTGGCGCTAAATCCACATATGCTACTGCAGAAGAGGGCGCAACAAGATGACGTAATTAAAAGAGTGCCGTCAAACCTCAAATTAAAGAAACAATGGATGCATGATAACAGAGAGTACACTGGACAATAAAAATAGAGAGTTTTTTGACAGCTAATATTTCAGCTTTGTGCTCTTGAAGGGGTTCTGGTAACAGCCCTGTGTGCACCAGCGTGTTGAAAGCCACCCAGAGACGATGAAGGTCTCTGGTGGGTTCAGGTTTATTCAAATTGAAAATGTGCATGAAAAAGAAACACACATTGTGGGAGTGTTTTATGAGTGTTTGTGTTCAGAACTCAGCACAAACTCTTGTTCTGTTCTCTCTTTCATTTGTCAGTGCATTTATAACAGATTCATAAGGCTCCAGGATAATTGTGATTTTTTTTGCTTAAGTTGGAATATTTTTTGCACTGCTGCATCTTTGTGTAAATAAGCACTAATTTGCACAGCTACAGACCACTTGTCATTGACTTTTTATGCAACTTCGCCAGCTCCATAATCTGTCTAAACAAAGCACATAAATAGCCACAGTAACTTCCACCACTGTCATGGTTCAAGATTTATGTTTTCAATTAAACTCCAAATACTGCACCACAGTTGTAGGCCTCTGTGCACCAGTAAAGTGTCTTCAACAGTTTACATCCATGTCTGTGAAAACATGGATGCTTCACACACATCTTCCCCCTGCAGTACAGGAGATCTATACAACCAGCACAGCTTCAAGGTGGACACCAAAGATTAGTGTCACCAATTCAGTATCCGACCAAATGTCTCCCCTCCAGTTCTGAGTTGTTACATTGAATAATGGCCAGAAAAGTATATTATGCAGAACATTATGATGTCACAGTGAAGTTGCCCTTTGACCTTTTGTATACAATATGTCATCACTTTATGACTGTACCCTATTATGTGATTATTATTATCACCCTATTGTGTGAAGTTTTGTCATAATTTGGTTAGAAAATGAGCCGTCAAAGGTCACACTGACCTTTGACCTTCAACCACCAAATTCTCATCAGTTCATTCTTGAGCTCAAGTGGACATTTGTGCGAAGAACTTCTCTTCAGATGTTCTTGGGATTTCACATTGACAAGAATGAGAGGGATATAAGGTCACAGTGATCTTGACCTATGACCACCAAAATCTAATCGGTTAATTGTTGAGTCCGAGTTTTTTTCAAAATTTGAAGAAATGCTCTCCAGACGTAAGTAAGATATCAAATTCACGAGAATGAGACAGATGCAAGGTCACACTGACCTTTGACCTTTGGCCATCAAAACTGAATTACCTTATCATTAAGTCCAAGTGAACGTTCTTGCAAAATCTGAAAAAGTCCCTCATGGTGTTCTTGAGATATCACGTACACAAGAATGAGGAGACAGACAAGGCTACAGTGACCTTGACCTTTGACCTATGGCCACCAAAATCTAATCACTTAATTGTTGAGTCCAAGGGGATGTTTGTGCTAAGTAAAAAAAAAAAAATCACTCAAGGTGTTCTTGAGATATTGCATTTACAAGATTGGGAGACGGATGTATGCACTGATGGATGAACATCCGAAAACATAATGGCTGCCCTTATGGCTATCAATGGGGCAGAGGCATAAAAAAAATCAGGGACATAAAGGGTAAATCTGATAATACAGACTTATTGCTCTAGTCCGTAACAAAGTCAGTTTAAAATCAAACAGGCAAATTTGGGCATCATGGTCATATTGTACTTGACTCTCATTTCATACTTTTTTATATTAAGATACTTCAAACTGTTTAACAATGCACACTGCACTGAACCTCAACTCTGGAGTCATCTTTGCCTCCTCCTTAGCTAAGACACATCTGTAATACAGTAATGTATTCTATGCTGTTCACTGCAAATTCTCAGCTGCTTCAACTGAACCAAAGAAAGAAGATGAAATTTCACCACTCCTGGCATCCCTGCACCGGCTACCTGTTGTTTTTCTAATTGATTATTAAAATCCCACTGAGGGACGCAGCCCCGAGTTATATTCAAAAACAGATTGCAGAGACAAAACATGTCAACCAATAAAGATTTAAAGGTAATTTAAAAGCCAAATATTGTTAAATTTTTAAATGTTATCATGTGAAACGGCCTTGTCAATTGGCCCCTTTAGCAAATTTTGGCCATTACACTTAAAATATTTCTGCATGCCTGTAGCCGCTCGATATAAATAAGCATCTCCTGCTCACCAGAAAACCCTGGATTTGTCATTGTTTATCATCTAATTATTAAGTTTTCATTCTCACTTCGAACAGCCTGGAGGACTTGGTGTGATTTATTCTGTGTTCAGCTGTCATGGAATTAGAAGAGTTTGAATAAACCAATGCAAACACGCCTGGTGGAAAACTGTAACATGCACAACATGGCATAAAGTCTAAATGACCTTCACAGCTAGCTGCGCTCTGAGACTGTCCTGAGCATCTATAAAGACGTCTCATATAAACTGAGTCAGCGTGGTGATGACACCTGTCTGCTGTTATGACGGAAAGCTCTATGGCTCTTATCTTCCCCAATGTCACTAAGACTTATGGCTGGCGTGTGCCCTTAATTTCCCTCCCTCTGTGTTGGGTGTCCTTTTCCCTTCCTCTCCCAGCTAGCTCTAATTCGCTTGTCAGCTCCTCACCGGACTCGGCTCTCTGCTGCTTCTCGATCTTCTCCAGGCGTCCCAGCAAAGAGTCGATCTTCATCTTGATCTGGGTGAGCTCCCGTTTGATAGTCTGAAGCTGGTCTGTCTTCACTGCTGAGGGACAAAAACACAGGAACAGATTTTTAGCAACTGTGACTAAAGTTTGTCCTAATTTCCTCTGTGCGCTCATTTTAATGATGCTGCTTCATACAGTTTTATCACAGACCACACGCTGGCATCTGTTAATGCTCTTAGTTTTTGGTTTTGGATATCATGTCATCACTCTGAGTCACATGTTGCTCAGGGGAGAACATCTCAATCTGGCCAACTGCAAAGTTACTCTGCTGAAAATGTGGACCTGCTGCTTTCAATTTGAAGATTAGTGCAGTTTACGCCCACCATGCTGTTCACTGCTGCTCGAGTTTTGCTTAATAATGCCAATATCTCAACTAACTGCTATCTTCCAGTTGGCATTAGGCGATTTTATAAAGCGTGGAGACTGTTTACACTTAATATAGTATCCGCTTGGTTGAGTTCATATTGTAAATGTCAGGTTGAAGTTGTGTATCTTAAAGTTATAATCCATAAGATTTTCATTTTATTTATTTTAAAGCACTTATGGTCTCCATTTTTTTCAGCCCAGTTGCCAAAGGAAAATGTTGGTGAGTTACACAAGATGTATGTAGACCTATGTTACAGTTATCGTATAGATATCAGCCTCACTGTTTACTACTCACAATCTTACAACTGTAAACACAAAACAATAACAAACAAAACACAGGATGACTTTAAATTTGAAGCACTCCCAAGATGCTGCCTTTAGCTGATAAATCAGTTTTTCTGTATGTCTGACACATCCGATTCTAACGGATTGATCAGTAACCCACAAATGTTGTTATATTACCAGAACTAATAACTTCCAAAAAAAGTGTTAAAAATTTCCATTACTTGAATAAATTAGACCTGGCATTATTTTTTAGCATAATTGCCAGTGCACTTGACTTTATTATTAGTTTTAAAGATTTTTTCTTTCAGGAAATGTTTTTTCTAGTCCCAGTGGATAGGAAGATTGCTTGAAAAGACCATCTCATTTGTGACTAATTACGGGGTAAAAGACACTGTTCATTCAGTACACTTCCTTAAGTAAATCTAATTAACTGGTAGCATAAAAAGGAGTCTTTTATTCAGAGCACTGCAGTTGAATATACAAAAAGTCAAATTATTCTATTACAGGCAAGCATATAATTCAAATACAGAGAAAATATGGTTTCAAAATATGCAAGAATAGTAATTTAGGTTTAAAATTAGTTGTCTTTTTTCCAGTCTTTAAAGGGGAAAATGCACTTATTTCCAACATTCGTGTTGCTATGGTCTATGACAGTCCAGAAATATTAGTGAACATTAACAACTCTCTGGCCAATCATAACGTAGCATCAGGCCGGCTCAGACCGGGGTCTGACGATAACACAGCTGTGCTCCATAGACTCCATTCTCTGAGCCCATCGGCTGTATCGCCGTCTGACTTCCGGCAGACGGCGATACAGCCTCTGGGGGCAGACCCCTGATTTTTTGGCATTCCAGTTTGATTTGGGCGGAGGAGGCGAATTTCCGTTTCCGACTTCCGTTTATATATAAGTAAATATGCTGAACCATTGCGATGGATTCAGAGGTTGTGGTGACGGCAATTATGTTCCGCCTCGTTAGTTCACCGCACGGACCGTTTAACCTGGCGACAACTGCAGCCAGCTTAAACATGATTGGTCAATATCACGCGGACTACAAACAGCCTACAACCGGAAACCAGGGCTCTTCCGCTCTTCTTCCGGAGGCAAGATCTCCGGGGTTTGCCGAAATTCACTGAATGTAGAGTAGACTCTAATGCAGTCGTTTCAGATTTCCTTCATTTTCAGGCTGGTTTTGTGGATTTGGAGCTAAATGATGTGTCTGGGGCACATTGTGTATTAATGATACTCGTTACCTGGAGAGGTTGGAGAAAGATATACGTTTCTTCCCTGTTCCAAAACCAAAATCAGACCCTGAAAAGTGTAGGGTTAGCTAGCTAGCTACTGAAGATATGGCCTACTGAATGTATACACATGCTGCTTTTGCTTTTTAATGATTCTAACATTTCCTGCTGTACAGGAACCAGTGAAGGGAAGCAGAGAAACTTTGCTGATATTCAGCCAGCTGTGTGACATTGCATTGTGCGCAAATGAACGTTGTTTGACTTCCCCCAAAGATACCTGCCCATCCGGCGGCGGGTGCTGGCAGCAGCACGGGGGTGAAGCCAAACACTGTTCATCTGCACACACTGTGATGCCACACAGCTGGTTCAATATCAGCAAAGTTTCCCTTTATATTCATTGTCTTCTGTGGCGATCAGCAGTGATGTGGTGGTCCACTTTTACACTGTGATCTGTAGCCTATAGTTCGGCTTTAGCTTCTAACTACATGTATCATTGTTTTTTTAACCTGTTGTTGCTGCCGAGTCAGTTTGACATCCTGGATATATCCTCCAAACACAGACTGTAGACCCCTCTGTCTGCTTCTCTCTGGAATCACTGTTTCATTTTTCCAAAAATATGGTAAGATTTCTTCAGGGAGTGCAGTTAGTTACAGTGTGGGCTCCATGCTTACTCTGACAACTTGACAGACCACCACAAAGGGGCGGGGCTTAGTGAAAGGTCAACTGACAGTTGCTTGTAAGATTAACAAAACTACCTCTGTAATAAATTACATACAATTAAATGACATTGCATTATTCATTTTAGCAAATCATTAAAACATTAAGGGACCCATAGAATAATTGCCACAGTGCTCAACTGAAATAGCAAATTCAAATGTAACACATGGAGTAAAATAAAATGAACCGAAACAGCTTATTGTGCAGAGTTGTGGAGAAAAACAGCTTATTCACTGTTCGAAATATCCACATACATTTTTTGCCTTTCTCAAAGTTATTTTGCGGTCGAAACATAAACAACCAGCATGTATTGTATTATAATGCAAATCAGTACTTACATCTGTTAATCCAGGGAAGCTAAAGAAATACTAAAATCTAATGTTGATGCTCGCATGTGTGTCAAGGACACTAAACTGGATCATTAATTTATATCATTGAGTTTTAATTGCATTTTTTAATTTCATAAACTCACTGCAACTATGCCTGATTATTGCCTCACTAACAGTACTGTATGAGAAACAGGGGGCACAATTTGCCCTCCCACAGCTTCTGTTTACTGCCTCATGAATAATTGTTCTCCCCTTCCTGCTTTGCTTTGGGTCTTACACTCAGTGTTCACTCTACAATACATATCTGAGCTTTGGGTAAATGAAGCGTAACTGTATCATGCCAAAGTTTGAATCTTAACCTTCGTGTGTCATATGCAAATAACATCTGCTGAAAATAAAAAATAAATGCATCTGAAGGACATCGCCATTAATTCAATCTGGCCTGTCTCACGGTTCCTGAGACGAGGGTGTACTCTTTAGCAGTTTGAACTGAGCAGATTAAAGAATTTAGACCATAAAAGTAATAAGATAATCTTATTCCTTAACCCTCGGCTGCTGAAATGTGTCATCTTTTCAGAGGAAAGGGGGAAAAAAACAGACACCAGAAGTTGAGAAGAAAACATAAAATTCTCTTTGACACCTATCAGATTCTGTCAGGGCTGGAGAGAGGATAGATGAGCGCTCAGTAAACAAACCCACGAGTTCCTGTAAAGCCGCTGCCGGAAAATCAGAGGCAGGAGACTTGCACGGAATCACAACATTACGTGTCTGGTATCATGTCTGCATGCGGCTCTTAAAGTTAGCGTCTTTGATATATACTTACACCCACACCACATCATAATGCAGATCCCCTCCTATGTCTGTGCACTATTATACATGTATGAGCTAAACCAATGCATAAAACATACGGTTAGAGAAGATGTCAGCTCATGTTAAAAATTTCTGACATATTAGTTCATTGTAAACTAGCCTCCCTAAAAGGACATTTTAATCTTTCACTAAAATGCAAGTTGAAAAACAACACAGCCCAGGTGAGATACAATGAATACTGCATGGTATTACCAATGCGTCTTAAAACAGGATGATTAATGTGTGCATTAGACAGAGAGAAAGGCTGTATACAGCATAATGCCACACTGAAGGCAATACATAGGTAATATGTGTGTGTGGAAATCACAAGAAAGAGTCTCATGTTGTTTTGTAAACCGGTCATCAACCCTAAAGCTACAGAGAAGCAGAAAATCGACATTTCTGGAGGGGCAAAAGGGAGAAAACAGTGGATATACAATGTTATCTCGGCGGCGGGACACACTGAAGTGTCTCTATCTCCTTCTCAGTATCACCTGCTTCCACACGTATAAAATGACATCCACGACTGCACACACATGTACACTCACTTCCTTATTCCGACATTATCTGAGCTCGCCGTGGGCAGCTTACCCTGATGATAAGGGAGTGTGGAACAGTTTTTAATTTATCGCCGCCTCCAGGCCTTTTTCCTTTTGTGCTATCAGTCACATAAGCTGCAGAGAGACAACGTACACATCCTAATCCAACATCAACCCAGCATCTTTAAATAGCTCCAGTAAAAGAAAAAGGAGGCAGAAAATGCCATTGTTATTTAATAAGCATTATAAGATATGATTTAGGGAATGAGTAATGGATCTAATTTTAGGACCTTATGATGAACCACTTTTTTTTTTTTTCCTTCTTTTTTTTTATCTTGGGGATAGTGAGGATCTGTGAATCACTGGTCTGTGAAGATTAAAGCAGACAAAGACTTTTGGGGCAGTGATGCTGATGTAATTCAGACTCTTAAGAGTGGCTGAAAAGTTACCAGCTTGGACAGATGAACGTGAAAGGGTAACTTCAGTGCTTTTCAACCTGGACCCTTTTTTGCAATGTTTTTGTGTCTATGTGAAGAATGGAGATGACAGTTTTTGAAATTGGTCCAATATTGCATGCGAGAAAACAGGCTGCAATGTAACCACTCAGGGCATTTGAACACCATTTATTTACACCCTCTAAAACTGCCTGTTTTTGCCACTGACAGGCTCAGATTGTTACTTTAAGTGTCTGACAACATTTTTAAAAGGATCCCTGCAGAGATAAACCTTTTTGTTAAAGGGTAACATCCATTTTGTTTAACCAGAAACAGCCCCAAAATTGCCATCACCAAACCCACCAGACTCCATTTAAAAAAAGGCAATTTTAGCTTGTATAAAGCCAGCACATTTTCACATCTAACTGGGTGAATTACAGGTTTATTTTAACCAAACCAGAGTTGGTGATTGTTGGAACAGTGGAAAGTTGAAGGAAGACAGCTGTCTTGAGTTTTATTTTGTTTCTTTCAATGGTGAACAATGTGTGATTCACAATGACAAAATTGTTGTTTATTTAAATGGAGTCTGGTGGTTTTGGCAATTGCAAAATTTGGGCTGTTTGTGGTTAAACAAAAAATGATCTTACATTTTAATAAAAATTTATCTTTCTATAGGGTCCTTTTCAGAATGTTGTCAGACATAAAGAATGACAATCTGAGCCCGTCAGTGGCAAGAGCAAGCACTTTGAGTAGACGTACATTGCTGTGTGCACATGCCCGAAGTGGTCAGATTGCAGGCTGTTTCGTCTCACTCAGTACTGGACCAATTTCAAAAATTGTTGTACCCATTAGTCGCTCTGACACAAAAACATGGGAAAAGGTTGTACAATGACAACGTTACCTTTTAAGAGGATTCTGTGAGTCCGATTTTTCAAGGCATAATGGAAGGAAATATCCAAGTACACACACTGAATACTACACAAGCTAGATTCAACATTAAGGTCTTAAAAACGTCCTATTTTAACATGATAATGTTACATTCTCAATGCATCCTGTGATGAAATAGACATTGCAAAAAAAGAGCACCACTTTAAGATTCATCCATCATTCAGAGACTTTCCTCAACAAACAAAATAAGCAAAAAGCCATATCCCATCCACATAAACTGACAATCAACACAGACTACATTTACATGCAGAAAATATTCAGATTTTTTGCCCTTATATACTCCTTCTAAGCTTTATACAGGGCTGATGAAAACAAATATTCCACTAATATTCTGGTTTACATGCAGCCTTACATTCTCAGATTAATCTACTTCAACATTTATCATGTCAAAATATGGTGGATATACTTATTTAGTTCCTAAATAAGTGGAACCGCTAGAGCCACTTCAACCATTTTACTTCTTTATGTCAAAATATAATTTTTCCAACATTTTCTATTGGCAAGCTCGTTCATCCATGGGAACACAGCCTCCTTCATTCATTCCTTCAACCACCTTCTTGAAAAGGTCGCATTGTGATAATTCCGCGTATCCAAAAACCTGTTGATATCTTTGAAGTCTTTCAAAGCATTTAAAAGTAGGTGTGTTTCTCCTTCAAAAAACATGGGCTGTCTCTTTTGGGCATGCATCTCCACTCCAGTCTTGCAAACTGCTAGCAAACTGGTTTGTGTATAACGCACAGAGCTGACTATAAAGAGACAAGCAGCTGTGTGTGGCAAACTGCTCTTTAAAACCCCAATCGAGACTCTTAAAACTGAGTATTACCCATGTTTTAATTGGAAAAAGCTACATTTGGAATACAACCTAATGCATTTACCATTAATGAAGCTCGAGTGAAAGTTCAGTCAGAAAGACAATACTTTTCATGCTCAGGCTGTAAGTTTCTTTCTCACCCTGCCATTCACTCCTTGCACACATGCTTACTTTCTGTCTCTAGGTGTCATTGTCTGGGTAGGTCAATTGAGTCATCAGCTGATTCACAATCAACCAATAGCACAGCAACACACCTTCTCTGTTAGCCTATCATCCTACTGCTCCTCATTTTAAATATGGTTCTTTGCCCTAGCTCTTTCTTGCTACCCTCCACCTCCCCATCACCACCTAGTCTTTACAGATTCATCAGCCTCACCCGCTTCAGCAGTCAGCAGCCTCAGAATCATCAGCCACCACCACTACCAATGTCTGGACTCCATGGGGGGGATTTATCCTGCTGCCACTCAGATGTCCCTTGATGACAAAATATCTCCCTCAAAATCAGAACAAATCATCTGTTAATCTGTTCACTCATATTCTGTATTAAATATTATCTTTACTTCATTCTCCTGTCTTTCCTGATTGAAATAAATTTGTGACAACACTGTTGTCACAAATTACATTACATGACATTTTACAAGAAAATATTTCCATCATTGACACTCAATATCTGTGGAGCACCGTATTAAGTTACTGCTAATGCGAACCAAACATTTCCTACTGCTGCATCTTCACAGTAAAAGCACTTAACTGGTGAATAATGAAGTAATCACAGGAAATGCAATGTGTTAGTGAGATTAGCACTACCACTCTGGTTCATCAAACATCCATCTACAAAAAAAGACAACAGTCATTTTCAGCCTTGTTTTACAGCAATCAATTTAAAATATTGCAGGGAGCAATGGAACAATATGGCACAGCCACAGTGAGCTACAGTTCCCTGCTGGCATTGGGATTAAATCCAAAACATCCAAAATAGGAACTTCTGTTTTTTGCTTTGACACCAAATCCTCTGCCATCATCTTGTCAGTAAACTCTCCTTACTTTTCATTCATCATTTGATCATTGAAATTTGACTCCTACTACTCTGTGGGCCGAATTCACAAAAGGATTGCGTGGCTTTTGTGGCCGCTAAACCGGTAAAAATAGAGCAAACAGATACCGTCTAATTCACAAAGCACGTGCAGAGGGTGAAATGCTCCACTAATTGCGTTGCCAAGCAGATTGCGTCTCGGTGCTCCGGTGTTATTTGCACGTACTCATTGATAAACAACGTCTAATTCACTAACACCAGCGCTAATAGCCACGCGCAGTTTGAGTGAAGTAAATAACGTCTTTAGAAAGCTGGTGCAAACTGGGCGCTCCTCTGTGGAAGCCTCTCGACCCGACTTTCCAGTGATCGTGGCAGCAGTGATTGTCTGTTAAATCAGTCTGTAAATAATATTTTGACATTATTATTATAATCATTATTACTTTAATGGCATCCGAAGATACTGATGCGTTGAGCAGGTGAAAGTCTGCGGTCTGTCACGCACTTCAAAAGCAACTTTAAATAATGTATTTTACGAAACGGGGGAAACAAACGTGAACAAAAACGGTTCCATAATTCATATTAAATTCAAAAGATAACGAAAAAACAGCTACAAGTGAGAGGGAATAGTGATAAAGTGGTCAAACTTGGTCAAATCCACAGCCTCAACCCATCCGACACTGTTAGACTGACTCACCAGCAGACATCACTACATGAGGGTATACAGTATTCAGTACTTTGCCAAACAAAGTCTGCCATTGTTCTGCCACGGTGTTCTTGGCACAAAGCCAGCATTTATACTTTGCCATGTGGCTAATTGCAATCAGGGGCAAATCAGGGGCAAATCAGGGGCAAACTGCACTCAGCTGCCAAACTTTGTGGGCGTGTTTGCGCTGGTATATCATTAGCGCAATATCCTTTGTGAATAGGACGTTAAGACGGAGCAAACTGCGGGTGCAAGTGAAGTGCAATTCAAGGTGATATCAGCGGCCGCAGTTCATTCTTTGTGAATTCGGCCCTGTGTTGCAAGTCTGCTGCTGCTGTACAGAGTGGACACTTTCAGTTGGCCAACTATTACCAAACAACAGTAGACACGATGGGCAAGTAATGTAACCCGTGTATGCCTGGATATTGTGCATTCCAGTAACATTGACTGTTTGTATGACCTGTATCAAATTCAGACTTTAGTCATATTCAGAATAATATAGAATATTAGTGTGCATTTAAACATAGTTATTGTGTGTCAAAGAAGGTTTTATGTATAAAACACAACATCTATTCATCCCTATGATCCATGCATCTGACAGCTGTTTCTCCTTTTCCCCCTCAAGTGAATTATTACTTGTACAGCCCGAGTGGTTTTAAAGCTGCCCGCACTGGCCCACCCTGCTGTTGGGACAACCTTATTTTGCTGTCCAATCTATCTAGGCCAAAGTCAATACAAACAGTGATTTTTCACAGCACTGGCAGGGGCGAATTAGTCTCCCAAACATACAGCAGCACTGCATAGACAGAGGAGAGAATTCATTGACTCTGTCCAAAAAGAGGATGGGAGATGGGCTTTTTTTTTTTTTTTTTTTTAACCAACTGCAACTGGGTCCTCCTCACAGACCTCACCAAGCTGCTCGCGCTGATAACACCGGCCTAGACAGGCAACAATGGAATAAACACTGTAGCCAATTACACAGGCTACGGATAGAGACTAACATTTAGGAAAACACAGCTGACCACAGCTCCACAGAGATGGCCCCAATCTCACATTAATTACATTTAGGACCTAATAATGCATCACCAGTTAATCAGAGGAGCAAATGAGATCCAGATGGATCCTGGGTGACAGGAATAACACTGTTTGCTGAATGGGTGCCGCTCGCAAAGCTCGGATTATATTTGTGTTTGCGATTTAGTGTTTTGCTCTACATTGCAGTGTGGCTTGTTCTGAGCTGCTGGAGTGAATTAGATGGCTTTTTATAGTGGCTTGGTGTAAGTAGCACAGCTGAATCATGCCACCGCTCCTCCTCTCAGAGCCGTGGTTTTCACATTTGCATTAAGCCTTCATTTATTTTATTTTTTTTGAAAAAGACAGAATTCCATTAGCGTAATTAGGCAGTGTTCTTTTGAAAAGTAAAAATTAAATAAAGTAAAATCTGAGTGGCCGAGTGTAAACACAAGATAAGTAAAAAGCACCTTATTGTACGTACGTTTGAGCCCGGAGGAGGATGTGGGAGGTCTGGAGGATGAAGAGGAGGAAGAGGAGGACGTCTTGATGGGGAAGGAGGTCTTCCCGCGGCGGGAGGAGGGAGCGATCACCCTGGAGCGCTTGAGGGGGATCACGGCTCTTGGTGGGGGGGCCACTCTGCCGTGGTAGTCAAAAAGCCTGAAGACAAGAGAAGAACTAGAATATTACACTTCACTTCTTACCCTTTTTCTATAAGTCACTGTCTTTTCTAAGAGGCCCTAAAGCATTCAGAAAGTGTCCCTCTACTGGAGCTAAAAGGTTTTTCTGTTTCACCATCACCTATTTCTAAAGCCTATTACTGTATCTGTTCCCGGTATTGTATTTCAAGATAGATTTTCTCTGGATTTCTCTTGGGTCCTTTCTCTCAAACGACACACATAAAACAAAAGGCAGACATTACAGTTGAAATCTGCCACTATCCTTCTTTCTGTACGACTACCCAGGCCATCGTGTGCATGCAGATAATCCCTTCATATCTCTTGAAAGTGAAGAGGATGAAAAGAAGAGGGTGCTAAATGTCAAATGAAGGTGTCAGCTTTGACTGTTCTCGGTGACAGTAGACGTCTGTCACGGCTCTCAACAAGTTTGACATTTAGAAAATGTCTCCGCAGATAAGCAGTCAGATCACTGGCGGATAAATGAGAGAGGAAACGAGAGTTCCTTCATCAGCGTGTTTCAAGTTGCATGCTTGATCTGTTCAGCCGTTTTGACAAGTTGACTATTTAAAGGTGCCTCTGTGGGAAGGTTACTGAATTACATCTGACAAGGGAAGACTTTTAATGAGGGAGTGTGACAAATCCAGAGGAGAGACCTATTGATCGTTAGCTAAACCACTCCCCTGAAGAGTGATTGTCCAGTCATGGCTGTGGTCTGTCAGGCTTTAGATTTCTCTGCGTTATGTAAAAAGAGTGATGCAACTTTTGAAAAGGATAGAGGGTGGTGTCTTTTATTTAGCCATTTCAAACCTAAAACAGAAGAGAAAATAATGGCTAAAGCTGTGTGTTTATCTGCCTTAACTAGACCTGCAATCGTCAACGTGTCTGGCTAACAAGGTCACTACAGTGGTAACTTGATAGTCAGTAGTAGTAACCGTTACTTCCATAGCTAAGGGGCACACCATTCACTAACTACATTAGTTTGTGGGGTAACAAGGTACATTAAAAAAAGCCCGGTTCACAATTAGCATATTCTTTGTGTATCTTTTCTCTGGCCCTTAGAAAGTGCACTAGGCTTCAAAGCCAATTTTTGGAGGGGCCAAACACTCAAATTACATCTGTCACGTGGTAAGGAGTGTGATTGGTTAGGGTGGGGGTAAAAATATCAGGGTAAGACAATCAGAGGCACAGTGTTAATTTCGTCATCAACGGCCTTTTTCTATGACAATGACGAGCTAAAAATAGATCTTGATAATAAAAACTAAGGCAAAATCTATGCTTCATTTTTGTTGAGACGAGATGAGACAAGACGAAAACGTTAGAGGTGGACTATTGGACAGTGAAAGCCGAGAACGGCTGTGCTTGTAATTATCTTCAAATGCCGCATGGGCGACAGGCTGGTAAACTCCAGCAAATAGTCTACACCAGGACTTTACTAGCCAGCAAAAACACTCACACTGGAGCAGCCGTTGGTGCAAGTTGTGAGCTGTAATTCAGCAGTAAAGTAATTTAGCCATGTGTGTCTGACTGTGGATAGTGGAGCTGCTAAATGGATTTGTGGAGTTTGTTGGTTGCACCGCTGCCTGTTAGTCGCTGAATGGCAGCGGAGCAAGCACCAACCAGCAGCGGGACTTTACAACTGATCCCAGCAGGACTCCAATCAGTCCGGTCATGTTGCAGATTAAGAAGGAATTCAGGCTTTAATGAAGTTAGGAACAACACCTTCAGGTCCGTCACGTGATGCCATAGGGCCCAAAATTACTTTTTCCCATTGTCTTATACTGTGAAGTAAACATCTATAAATCAGCAGATAATTTTTTGAGGGACATTAACCTCCAAGTACAAAAATTCAAATAGCTCTTAATTAAATCATAGCCCTAAAAATTGTATTATTCAGTTTTTCAATCAAGTTGTTTTTGCTACTGTCATACATATGAATAAGACTGAGACTTAATGCTTTATACACCACTGTGCAACTTTCAAACAAGTGAATGGGGCACTGCCTCCAACCCGGTATCCAGTTTTCTTTATACGTAAATGGTGCAACAGAAAGAAGCTGGGCTGTTGAACCTCATGGTCGAATATTTAATCCTAACAATCCCTCTTCCCTGGTTGGTATTACAAGCCTCTCAGCTGTGATATTATGACTGTAGTGAGGGTTCTGCGTTTCTTCATGGATGGGTGACTGGTTGTCAGATCAGAGGTCTGATGTTTGGAGCATCCAAGTGGTGTAGCAGGTAAGTTACTGGATGTCAGCTTCGACAGCAATATACAGATGCTTCCAAACAGCCAGAGAAAAGATGGTGTGCAACATTAGGAGGCAAAGCCGACTGACTGAACGCCATGAATCTTTCAAACTGCAGGGAGAGTGTGTATTCTCAGGGCAACTGGCATTTGTTTTTGGGATAACAGGCTATTGGACAAATGGGCTGTAAGTCCCATGTGACATTTTCGGAGTTTAAGAGTCATGGAGGCATTGTAACAGTGGCATGGCACCATCTTACGTTAGCTTTATTAGCTAGCTAGCTACTGCTGATAAAATCCTCTATCAAAATTTAGTTACTAGTTGAAGCTTTTGTCTACCTACCTCAAATTAAAAACCTTTTGATCATAAAACTACAAAGAATTTCGAGTGGTAAATCTGTGTGAGGCTAAAAGGTTCCTTGTTAAATCCCATATTAGATGACATAATGTGAATGATACATACCTGCTGTAGAAATCATCCCTGTAGTACTCATAGTCAAATTCATAGCCGCTATGAAAGAGACAAACAGAGGGACAGAGGGGGGAGAGGAGGGCGCAGAGAGACACAGATAAAGAAAGAGATGGGTTGTCTAAAAAACAGCCATATTGGATCTGTCAAAAGTACACAGATCAAACTCAAGCTGTTTTGACTCGAACGGACACGCTCTAGTTAAAGCCTAAAGCTCACCGCAGGTTAAGCAGCAAGTCTGAGCCAGGCTGGCATGCAAAGACCACAGATCAACAAAGAAAACACAAAGTTTCAGGGGGAAAGATACAGTCAAAAATTGAAAGAAAAATCTTTTTTTGTGGACCCTGGAGAGGAAAATAAATGTTAAGTACATGCTCAGGAAGGCAACTAATTTATAATTCAGGGAGAGCAATAAAATAAAGAGAAGAGGAGCAAAGAAGGAGCTGTTTTGAAATGTTGCTATTCTCACAGGAATTTTAATTAGGATTAATGTATTACTATTTCAATTTAGAGTGGTGTAGTGTTGGTTTTCGCCTCTCCTGTTCCTGTTCCATAATTACCATATTACATCCTGGGCTGCTTTCAGCTGCAGCTATAAAATGCAAATGAGGGTTTATAATAACACAATGCACAAACTAATAAATTAGTAAAATAACACGTGCGATGCAACAAACCAACAATTCAAAAAGGCGAAAATTAGTGGGAATGTAAACCAATGCCAATGGACAAACTATCAGAGTACACAGGAAAGTGTCCCAGTGAATGAGGAAACATGTCAGCCCCTCTGTCACACTAGACTGCAGTAAACAAGCACTGCTTTGATCTGTTTGTGACCAGGAGATGTGTATGGGCCAGAAAATCAGGGTCATGCTTAATGAAGCTTATACAACAGCATCTCCTTTGAGCTTTTACGGGCCTGTGCCGAACAAACTCCAGTCATGGCTGAGAAATGTGGAGAGCATTAAAAAGTCAATTAGAAATTCAAGGTTCAAAAGAAAAGGGAAAAATGAGCATAATAGGAATCCTCCTATTCAAAATATTACTCCACATTTACATGAGCGGAAGCAGCAGGATGTGAAAGATAATTACCATTTATGGCTGCACCTTTTCATGTGAAGGAGTGTGTTGTAAGGAGAGCAAATCTTACCTATAAACAGCTGAGAGCGGCCGTTTGGAGCCGGCTTTGGGCCTGTACGGCTTGGGCTCACCCGCCATGTTTATGTCTGCAAAAATACAAACACAGAGACGAATCACGTGTTAGTCATACATAAATAAAGACTGGCTAACACTTCAATTAGCATTTATAAGCAGTTAATAGACTTAACACAGTATATTACTTTGAAAAACATCTTAAAGTGTTTAGTAATGTATTTGTTAAAGACTATAACTTTGCATTGAAGCATCCATATTGACACTATTATGGAGGCAAAGAAATGATGAAACCATTTGACTTTAATTGTGTCTGAATGACTTTATTTGATTTATATTTCTACATTTGAAAATTATTGACTGAACCAACACCAGGTTTTTGAATATTGGACACTTTCAATCTGAATTCCTGAACCTGAGAAAAAAAAACAAACAAACAAAGAAAAAAACAAAACAAGGTTGTATAATTTCAATGTAGGGTTGTTTTTTTCCAGGGGAAAATACAGCTTTTTATTTGCTCCCATACAATCCAATATTACATAGATACTATTATATTAAGTGATCTTCATGTCTTATATGAAGAGTGAATTATTTCTTTGGTGAAGCTAGAGTGCAGGACTGTTAAATATAAATAGACGTTCATTACATTCATGCCCTTGCTTAACGAGTTTAAACAATGCTGTTAAAGCCACCAGAAAACTCTGTAGTTCCCTGTATACTGGAGTTTTGCTATCGGGTATTTGTGGTGGCTTTCCGTGATGGCACACCAGAATTGACGCGTTTGACGTCAACCAGCCAACGTTAAAGGAGGGAGATTAATTTATTGATTTTTTCTGTTGGATTTGCTTCATTTTTGTTCATCATTTCTGTTTTCTAAATGCTTTACCTGTGCTTGTGTGATAGAAATGGTTTCTACTGATAGTTTTTGTGCTGAGTTTGAAATAAAGATTAAAAAAAAGGAAGGGGAGAGAGACCATATCAATGGAGGAGCAACTAGTATGACTAGTATGGCTACAGCTATGGTGGAAAATCCTAAGACGCATTCAAGTAAGGGTTCTGGACTAGATACTCGAGGAAAAAAGAAACTTCAGAGAAAAGATTAAAGTAAAAAAAAAACACTTGAAGATAGCGCTCCTGAGGGCGGAGGAGATGCGGCAAGCTCACCTAAAGGCATACCTCATGAAGAGTGTTTATGTTATTACCCTACTAACTACCAGAGCGAGGAGACAAAAGCTCCACACTCCAGCTTTAAATTCACAAATTACATTTTTGTCTTTCTAAATGAAGTACTTAACATTTTTATCATTAATTTATGAATAAATACATTCCACATACTCTCAGTGATGACCAGGCATGGATGAAGGCCATGAGGTGTGGATGAAAGCGACAATTTCAATGTAGTAAGTGGATACTAAGTTAAAAACTGTAGAATAAGAGCCAAGAGTGAACCTCAACATCTCTTCATGAGCTCTGGTCACATTTACAGGCAGGTAGTAAATGTTTTATAATGTCTGAAATCACATACTAATAAATATATTATAGCCCTGGTGTATTGGTAATGTATAATAGTTTCATAAATCAGTTAAAAATGTCCTAAAATCTGCTTACAAAAACATCATAGTGTTTGTGTATTAAATGTGTATATACTGATTATTAATGCTAAATAAGATGGTGACAGTAAAGTGTCACTATTCATATGAATTCTTGAATATTCTCTGCTGAACAGTACCCTACAGTATGAGGGGTATTATAGGATTTCATTCACTGCTTATCGACACCGATGTTTCCCTCGCTGCAGCGCAACCTAATTTAAAGACGAGAACTGTGTCAATGAAAGTGAAACAGCTTCCTTTCTTCAAACAGAGCGACGGCTCCTGATGGTGGTGATGGTGCTGCATTATAGCTCAAAGCGGCGCCTGAACACGAGGGAGCGTACTGTAAAAGCACTGCTTCATAATGAAAGAAAGTAAAATATCAACTCAAGCTTCTCTGGAAGCTCCGTGCCATTTCCATTGTAAAACTGAACTTTTCATGAGACATTTAAATAAGCAATGCACAGAGCTGTGGTGCTGTGGGACACATCCACTAATGTCAAGGTGCGCCGCCACAGCCAATTTTCTGAGGCAAGACCGGAGACCTTGCTGCTGTGCACTGGAAAGATTACAAAATGAAATTCTTGTTGCGAGGCAGGAGAGAATCCTTGAACACATAAAAACAATGGAAAAGAATAAGCATACAAAGAAAAACTGCAACAAAAGCTGGATGTTCGGGGAACATTGATTTATAGCAGGCTGTTGGTTTTTTGAGTAAAAGAAAAAATGTTACCATCAGGTGTACAGTTTTGTGAGCAAGCCAGTCAGTGATGTGGAATTTTTTCCAATCGCTATCTGTGCATTGCCAAGGGTGTTGCAAGGTCCTTGTGTTTTTTTGTGAACAGTCTGAGTGGCTTCCGGGAGAGGAGCCAGTGGGTCAAAACAAGCACCCAGTCCAAAGTAAAACACTCGAAAGTGCGAGGAAAACAGTCCAGAAACTTTATGGATGCCGACGTGAGGCTATATCCAAGAAGTTAAGTAGAGAATGTTGCAGGAGAAAAACTGAGCTTTAGTAGCACTCACATCCTTATCCGAAGTCAGGTACGAGCTATACAAACATCATTTCCACAACAGATGAATAAACGGCGCAGGGGATTTTAAAGAATATGGATCGCTCCAAGTGAGAAAAAGCTTAGAAATACTTTCTGACCAAAGGCAGAGAATACTCCCATCATCTGCTTTTTTATATCTTCATGATATCACACAAGCCTTCCTGCATGCAGCGAGGTGTTCAGAAGGGCCATTTCATACACCGAGGACAATATACCAACCAGCAAGGTGCCCTTGAGACGAAACCGAATCCAAGTCTCGGCCAAGTGCCTCATGGGTATATAGATCACTTTAAAGGCACTTTCTGACAAATTGTTGTTTCTTGCATGAAGTCATGTCCTCGCAATCATTTTGTCCCTTTCAGCAACAAACATTTGCTTGAATAATGTATGCGTTCGCCTTGCCTTGCCGTGCCTTGCCATCCCCCCGCCCCTTCCCCTCCAAATACCAAACAAGTGGAAGCGCCCCAATCCCCGAGAGTGGAACGGCACTGGGGTGAAAATAAGCTTCAGGCAAACTCTTGCCTCCTTCTCCCAGTGGCTGCTCTCACGAGAAATAGGATTAAACCCTGCTCTGTTTGTATACCGCCTACTTAGACATGCTAAAACACAGACTTTTTACGCAGAGCTGCATGACCAAATGAGTGTATAAATGTGTGTATGGGTGTGTGTGTGTGCATGTCAGGATTGACCGTGATGCTGATTTAGGGGATAATTATGATTTTGCTCATTAACCTGACGTTTTACCCAAAGAGGAAGACCAACTCTTTAATTAGCCCGCATCAATCCTGCTTAATATAACTGGCATCTAAATCCATGAGCAATCTAAAAATCCCTGACTGTTACTACATGTTTTCTGTTGAGCCAAATTCTTGCTTTTCTGTCTCAAACCTGGTAAGTACTGCATCTGCCAGAGAAGAGGTTCAGCTTGCTTTGATTGAGACTGGCAGGATAAGTCTGGTTCAAGTGTTGAGTCGACTAGAGCGATCAATACCACATTTTCAGCTTGGTGAAAGTTCAGTTTAGAGCTAAAAGTCATAGATGATCTATCAACTATTCAATCCACAGGGATTGTAGTAGGGATGCACCGAATATTCGGTAACCGAATATATTCGGCCGAATATTGCAAAAAAACAAACATTTGGTATTCGGTGGAATAAGTTAAAAGCAAGGCCGAATAATAGCGGCGTGTTTTGATAATGCGATCAAACGGCGTGCCGTGACGGGCGGAATAAAATGTCGGCAGTGTGGTGATCCATCCGTCACGGCACTCGCATTTGCGACTTAAAATAGTTTTGAGCGAGCAAAATAGGCTTAAATTATTCAGCACACTGTGCGAGCAGCCTACAGATTTCAACCACCAGCAGAAACGAAAGGCGAATCCCACCGATTGTGGGTTGAACGGGGGTCACAGACATAGACAGTAATGTATTCCTGTCAAATACGGCGGCCATCGGCTTACCGGGCGACGGAGAAGTCGGTTCCAATAATATCCTCTTCTTGGTGTCATGACTGCCCAGAAGTACCTGAACAGCCGAGCCAGCCGAACACAGGTATGTGATGAGTCAGAGGAGAAACGAGCCTTTCACATTTCTCTCTTTGTGTCAGTAACGGCCCACAAACCTCACCGCACTTTAGTGTTCTTTATTTATGAAGGGACTGTCAGGGGAGGAGGGTGGATGGTTGATTCTTATTTTATTTATTTATTTTATTTTGATCCCCCCTATGTTCATCACTTATTGATGCTGTTTTTGAAGTATGAATAAGTCAATAAGTAATTTATTCCATTGAAATATCATTGATGTATTATAGAAAAGTGATTTATCTTTTTATAAATGACAAAAGGCACATCTGCCTCATTTTTGCTGTGGTATCGTGATACTAGTCAGAACCATGGTATTTTCATTGGTATTGCACAGTGGGTCCCAATTTTGGTACTGTGACAACACTAATCTGGAGGGGGTTCATCTGCAAAAACTAATGAAAAACTAAACAATGATATTCGGTATTCGGTACTCGGTATTCGGCCAAGCGTTTAATATTATTCGGCTTCGGCTTCAGCCACAAATTTTCATTTCGGTGCATCCCTAGATTGTAGATAACTAATACACTGTCGCTTTTCAAGAAAAAATGTCAAACATTTGTGACCAGATTCTTAATTGTGTCTATTTTTCTTTGTGTTTCTCCATTTTTTTTTTATCATTGTAAATAGAAAATCTTCGGGATTTTGGACAGTTGGTCAAAACAAAACATCTGAAGGTGTCACCTCCAACCAAATACCAAATGCCAAACAACAATAGGTCCCTTTGACTCAGAATACTGGGACCTAACTATTTATTAACTGGCTTGGTTACACTTGGTTTTACTGTTTGAATCTTTTGGGAAATAGTGATTTTTCACAGTTCTCAAACACCTGAGTCAAGTTTCCAAACA